AAAAATTTCTTAACAGTGAGGGTGACAGAGCCCTGGAACAGGCTGCCCAGAGAGGTTGTGGAGTCTCCTTCTCTGGAGATCTTCCAAACCTGCTTGGATGCAGTCCTGTGCCACGTGCCCTAGGTGACCCTGTGTGTACAGGAGGTCATCTAGTCCTCTAGAGACTAGATGCTTTCCAACCTTAAGCATTATATGATTCTGTGATTCTGTGCCTCAAAAAACCCAAATCGTTAAAGTATCCAACGCTTTACCATCAATAAATCAAACAGATCTTTTTTTTTTTGTCTCCCTGCTTATTGTCTATCTATCCCTACTTTTGCTTCCATGGCTGATGCTTTTTCTTTCTTCAATACATCTTCAGTATAAGCTACTCGAGGTAGGTGTATTGGTGTTTCTATCCAGCTATAAATAAGGATTAGCAACTTGCTTTGTTCTTCAAGGATTGGTGGAGCCTTGTCTGGTCTTTGGACAAGCAGAATTGAGGCTTTAAGAAAAAAAGCCACAAATATTATAAAACTGATTGCTGACCAGCTGGGTTTTTAAGTTTAAAATAAAGGCCTTAAATATATTTTCTCTTCTGGAGCTGACTTATGGTTAATGAAATGCAAATCCTTGCATACTGTGGTGATGTTTTGCTGTGCTAATCAGGGCAGTCTTAACATTTAATGGGAAGTAAAATAAGATCCTTTGTGCCATTTTGTGAATTTATACATTTTTCAGTTTTTGATGTGTTTCCATAGAGCTATGTACTACTTTGTTCACATTCAATGTTTTTTGGCATTGCACAAGGCTTGAGCAAGTCTTTGTTAATATTATAGAAACATTCAGCTGTACTTTGTTTAGATACTTCCATTTCAAACCTCATGAAAACATTTTTCAGGACTCAAATATAAACAGTGGAACTAACCATAAGAATAAACGATTAATCCTCTGCCAAAACTTAAATAGATATATAATTTGAGAGTTGGAGATTATTTTAGCCCAGTATACCTCTAGAATATATTTGCTTCCTCTTCCAGTTTTTTCTTCTGAGACCACATGCTTTCTGAAAGAGTAATTTGGTAGCTTGTTTGCCATGAATAGCGATTCTGTTCGTTCTGTGGGTTCTTGCTTTCATAGCCAGGACAACTGTTGCCTTGTGCTCAGTGAGGCTGTTCGCGGCGGTTATTGTGCAGAGCAGTGAATGATGTTTGTTTGTGCTCTACAGTTGACCACATCTGGGGGTGAAGACTAAAATCATGGGAGGAAAAAAGAGAGAGAAAAAAAAAAAGAGAATTGCAATAATTTTCGGGTGGGGTGACAGTTTCAGTTTGTATGTTCGGCTAAATCATATTGGTAATGGGGAGATATTTAAAATAGAAAAGGAGTGAATATTATTTGAATATTTGAATATCTGTGAATTGAATATCTGGGAAAACAGATGGCTCAGTGGATCCAAATAGCTGATTTGTGCTCTGAATTAATCATATGTTGGAGATTTAGTGTTTGGGCATCTAGCTTTTAAAACTGTTTCACAGCATCTCACACAGCAATGCACCCTGTTAAGCACTGAAGTTCTCAGGGCTTTCTAAGCCAGCAAAATGTTTCTCCCTCCCTCCTTTGTCTTCCTGTGAATAGCAATATCTCTCAGGACAAAGCAGATAAATTATAGCAGAATCTTTCACTTTTCAAGGTACATACTTGCCTGTATGTTTTAATTTGAGTTTGCGTTTTTAAAGTTTTCACTTTTCCTTTTACGTATTTTTAATTGTAATATTTGTTTTCTTAAAAACATGTGGATACTATTATTTGTATGTGTGTTGCCTTTGAACACATGTTAAAAAAAGAGCAAACAAAACTACAGATTATTTTTTTCACAAATGGGCTAGAAAATATAAATTAAATTTTTTTAGCCTTAGCTTTTGCATATGGTGAGTTTTCTGTGACTTTTCAGAAAGACCAAATGCTTTGAAACATTATTGCAAGTAATCTATAGAAAAAGATGCCCTATTTAGTTGATCCTCAAAAAACAAGGAGGGGAAAAAAACATGATTATGCAATCAGGAATTTGATGCTGTAAAAAGAAGGGAAAAATGGCATGTAGCTTAAAAGATTGCTATGGGATTACGGTTCTTTTTATCACTTGACAGTTAAGCATAATTTACTGGTGTGTCTCTGAACTCTCACAGCTGATAATCTGGCTGTGTGATGACTGCTTGCCATGAACAGTTTTTTGAAGATCACTGCAAATTTCTTCCAGGAGTTTCTCTCTTAACTGTAATGCAGATTTTTACTTCCTGTGTTTCGTTGTTTGTTGACACACACTGATGCAGGAGAATAATGTATAAAAATGGTATATATCCAGGAGAAAGTAAACAAGACATATTTACTACAAATGATTTTGGAAAACATTCTGGCATGTAGAAAGCTCTGCTAATCTGGTATTTTGTTGCTGAATTTGGGTTTTTATTTTCCTCTTTGAATAAGTAAACAAGATATAACGAAGAGATTATGATTAGATGTTTTTCCTCTCTAAAAACATTGCTCTATTTATAACTGTAAATCTTTTTTTCCCCCTTCTCCCTCACATGTGTGACAGCAAGTCGATGGCGGAGCCTCTTCTCTACACCTGTCTCCTTGGCTTTTCCCTATAGTCCTGTTGCAAGACTCACCCCATATACCAATGGCTTTAATAGTCCCAGCTTCTCTAAAACCTCCAGTAAAGCAATACTAACACCTGAACGGACAGGTAATGCTGAACTTTTTATTGACTTGCGGTGCTTACAAAATTGCTTAATTAAATCTCATTGTGCTACCATTTAACAGCAATGTGCTCTAAAGACAATGTGTAATAGACTCTTAGGGAAATTTTTTAAAAGCTGACCTGAAATTTGAAAATTAACAATTAAGCAGGTTATTTTCCTTGTTCCATAGCGTGCTGCAGGAAAATGGCTCTAACAAACAGAGCCTAGCTCTCACTGATGGATTACATGAGAGTATGGTTGGAAACAGGGGCAACTGAAAGGCCTCAGCTTTTTCTGCCCGTCACTGCTCATTCCTACCCCAGCGTCCCCCTTCTTTGTAGCTACAGAAGCAACTGTGCAGGCACGCGGCTAATTCACACAAACAAGTCATCTACTGTAAAAATAGTCAGCAAAAACATGGCTGGCTTTGGTCTGGCTTTATTATCACTATCTAAAGGTTTTTCTTCTTTTGCCATGGATTTTGAGGGGAAACCAAGGAAGTTTAGTTAAAACGTACATACTGCTTCCTGTAGGTTGTAAATGGCAGTGTTACATTTGTTTTTCTTTGATACAGGTATCAAGAGTCAATTTATGTCTGTGACTTCTCTTAAACTGCAGCAGCAGTAGTATATAATCTTCTGGGGAAGAGGTGTTGAACATCTGATTGTAGGCAGCAGCATCAGTGCTTCAAGGAAGGCAGCATTAGCGTCACAGTGATCCACACACATTGTTCCTGACAGAGCCTGAAATGGGTGCAGGAAACGCTGTTAGGGTCGGGGAGGGTGGGATGCAGCTCCAGACTCCACACGCCTGGTGGGGGTGTCTGTGTGGGAGCTGGGTGTCTGAGCCACCCTGCTCAGTAGGATGTAGCTCAGTTGCCATCTAATGGTCTTGTAGGCACCCCAAAGTGTCTCAAGTCTGGCCTTCCAGTGCTGCTCCAAAAGAGCACAGGTGATAAAACCTCTAAAGGTTCTAGAGAACTACTGCAACTTGCAAATTGAAAAAAATTACATCCACTCTTTACAATCCTTCCTAAAGCAAAACAGCTCTCTGCATGCGATTTATGGGGTGAGAAAGTATCAGAGAACAGCTGAACTTATGATCAATTTTTAGGGGAGTGCTTTGTGCAGTGCTTGAGGCTAGCAGCACATCTGGGATGTAAGCACAGTTTAAGAACCTTTGCCACAGGTTCTTAAAGTTTGTTTCTTTATACAGTTTTCTTTAAAGCTGGACAAACACTAACTCTTACACTAACAAAAACAAGAATCTTGCAAGCCTGAGCCTCAGCTCCAGTTCTCTTTGTGGACCTGCAACCATTTAAATGACTTGAACTTTTATTATTATGTGGGGGGAAAAAGATGAATCAAAACGCCTTTCGTATAGTAAGGTCTGGAAGGAGGCATTTTTTCCTTTGTTGTTGCATCATGCCTAGTTAGGTTTTTGTTCTTATTATAATTTTTTTCTCCGATGATTATAAAAATCCTCAGTATAATGTAGGTGAGTGGCTGTGTTGTGGAATATGGGGCTGGACATCCTGCAGAAGTTGGTGACAGTACACACAGAACAGAGAGAACTACAGTCTCATAAGAGGGACTGAAATACAGATGTGTTTAGTTTACTGTGCTGACCAGTCTGAGCTATCAGGTCTGTGGTGGGTAAATTGGTGTGTAGGGTACACTCTGCTGTGTAGAGGAGTTCGTGACCAGGATTGCATTTATTACATCTCATGAATATCAAATCCCCTCGCTAATTCTTAGTAGATTGCTCTATATTTTGAAAGTTTTTGCTTTATATAGAAAATATTTAAGCTATGAGATCAAAAAGGGCAGTTAATCACGAATTAAAAAAATGCCATATATATTCACAGACTAAAGATTATATGTTCTTACATAGGTTATACTTCTAGAAGTTCCCCTTTGAGTCCACAGTCATCAATAGACAGTGAACTGAGCACCTCGGAGCTGGAGGATGATTCCATTTCCATGGGATACAAACTGCAGGACCTCACTGATGTTCAGATCATGGCTCGTCTCCAAGAAGAGAGTAGGTCACTTTTTTCGTAAACGTTTTCTAAAACAGCCTCAGGAAAATTTCGCATCGCAGTCAAAACTGCTAATGTCTGGCCTCAGTCAACCTGATCTTTCTTATAAAAGTGATGTCTTGAATGGTAGGTAGGACAATACTCCTTTAACTTTCAAGGAGAATGTGCCCAAGTTGTTGATTCAGGTTAAGGGTAATGGATCTTTTAAGACTTTTGATACTTGTTGCTAAATCCACAGCTCCATACTCATTGAATACATTGAGATTTAACTGTTTTATAATGTCTTACCCTATTAATTAAAATTGTTTATTTGGGGGGAAGGAAGAAGTTAAAGCATCTTTTTCATGCTTACATTTAAAGAAAAAATTTAAAATAAGCAGTTCTCATTGAGCAATTCAAAGCGTACGCAACAAATATCGAGTGAATTTTGAAGTGATTTCCCCTTTAAAAACTGAATTGGAGCATTTAAAGTGAACAACTTGGTTTCAGAGTAGTGATTATGCACAAATATGAGCCCTGAGACTTGTATGACATAGATTACAGGTTGGCCTGATAGAAGTTTATGGAAGGTATCTTTACTCATAAATAAAACACATTTTGCTTAGAAGTCACTGAGACAATAAATGCAAAATCTTTCTGCCTTCCTGTTAGTGCCAAGGAAGCCATAAAAGAGGAAACGATAAGCTAGAAAATAAAAAGAGGAATTCAGAGATGATAACTGAAATAAACTGCAAGATAATAAGGGACCACATGGAATAAGGATAAAATGTGAACAAGAAATTATAAAACAGATCTGGCTGGAGCAACCAGACTGAACAGGCCACATTCACCACTTGTGAACTTCCTAAGAATCTGGAAGCACTAGTTATGTTTGCCAGGGAAGGTTGGTCTTTCCAAGATAACTGTGAGCTCAGCTGGCAAGTGGGTATGGTCAGAATTTGGATGATCTCTGATGCTATGTGCAGGTGATAAAAATAAATAAATAAATAAATAAAAATAAGAAATAATATCAAAGGTATGAAATACTGTGTAACCTAAATGATAGCTGTGGTCTCATTCAGAGTGAAATTTAAACAAACGAAAAAAAACAAAAAAACTTAAGGTACTTATGAAGTCAGGTCATTGGTAAAAATGGAAGGAGGAAAAAAGGAAATTTTCCTACTAATCTCTTTCAAATGTAATCACCGTATCTCATTTTTTGTGATAGCAGTCAGTACAGAATATTTGAATACATGGTAGTTGCTGGCTGTCTACTTAATCCTTTGGAAATACTACTACTTTGGCAGTTGGTAGTATTATGTGTGCATGCAGGCATACCCTTTTCATGTCCATGAATAGTAACTCCCACTTGAAGGGAGGGAGCCTCATTAAGACATATCCATTATGATACTAAAATTTGTGAAGCTAAGTGCTTTTTGTAGCTGCATCTGGAGGTGCAGTTATTCACAGCTGTTTACAAAACTGCTTAGCTCCTGGAAATATGATGTATTGCAGGGCTGCCTGTAGTGCAGTCTTGGAGAAGAAGGTTTGCCTCTCACTTGGCCTGAAGCAAACAGGCTCTTTGGGACAGTGCTAATAATGGGAGAGTTTTCAGAACTTGGCATCCTGAATACGAGTGGTAAAATACATATGTATCTAACATGAGAGAGGATTACCTCTAAGCCTTGGCTTTGATATCACATGCAAATATCCTTGTCTTTTTAGTATTTTGTTGCATACAGCAAAAGTATAATAGCAATAACTTTGAATAATAACAGGCAGATGAGAGTTAACTCCTAATCTGGAGAGTTAAAAAGTTAAATGCTTAATATTCATATAGTCTTCTCAGTAGCAGAGAAATGAGGGCCTCCTGAGGGTTATTGATTTTATTTTGAGAGGTATCTATGATAGCTCAGAGGAATGACATTTTGAAGATGCCAGGCTTTATACATATTTATATATCTATGTATCTATATATATTTTTAATTAATTAAAAAGAATTCTCAAGAGAAGTAGATCGGACTTAGATATCTAAAATGTAGACACTTAAAGTTAGATCAGATGAATGCTACCTCACGTCTTCAGCTTGGTAACATTGTAAATCGAGTCCTTTGTAAAATAACATCTAATTACTTGTTTTATCTGCAAGATCGGAATATATGCTAGAATTATGCACTTAACAGTAACTCAATCTTCCTCTCCTTGAAATTTACAGGCCTAAGACAAGATTATGCTTCTACTTCAGCATCTGTATCGAGACACAGTTCAAGTGTATCTCTGCATTCAGGAAAGAAAGGGACCTGCAGCGATCAGGACTACGATCGCTATAGTCTTGAGGACGAGGAAGAGTTTGACCACCTTCCACCTCCACAGCCTCGACTCACTCGCTGCTCCCCTTTCCAAAGAGGAATTCCACACTCACAGACTTTCTCCAGTATTCGGGACTGCAGGAGAAGCCCTACTTCCCAGCACTTCCCTTCAAATAATTACCAGCAGCCGTACTATCCTCCTCCAGCCCAAACTCCAGAGCAGCAACCAAATAGGATTAATGGAGGTGGGTTCCACGCTTTTCTGAGAAATGTTTTTTCCTTTGGTCTCCTCTTTGCAAAATGTCGGTGCCATCTGACAGATCAAGTTGTCATCAAGTGTAATGTGTTCAGGGTATGACAGCTAGACCATGAAGTATGACAAGCAAGTTGAATCTTTGTAAGTAATTGTGACTGCAGTATTTGAGGTATGTTGTTCTTAAGTAACTCTTTACAAAATATGATCTCTGATGTGGTCATGAAAGTTGTCATTTTAGTTGCTTCTAGATAGCTGCAAGAATGAGCACAAGTAAAGAAGAAAAAGGAAAAATGAGCCTGTTTAGCAGACCAGTAGTTTTCTGGAAAAATTGGTCAGATTTTGAGCCTAGCCTATAAATGTCCATCGTGGTTATAGCAGAATACAAAACAGGGGTTGCAGCTTTTCATTCTTAGCCTCATTCCCCTTCTTCCTTCCTCACTCTGTCAGTAATATAAATACTGTATGAATCCATGGTGCTTCCCATGAAGGTCAATGCTGTGCTCTTCATGCTGGCAGTGCCAAGTCTAGTAGGGCAGACTGTTGAAGTAGTGAGAGGAAATGTCACTCGCAAAGCACCCTGAGCCATTGTTGCTTTTTTCACTCCATTTGAGATGTAGTTCAAAAATCTCTGGAAGATTTTATTACACTACTCACTACAGATGGAAGTTTCTCTCCATTGTTCCTGTTACATTTTTCTTCATTTCTTATTGTGATCTTAATTTGCCTTCTCTGCTGCCTCACTCTGTTCTGCAAACTAATTTGATGTAATCTTGTTTATAACATTACAGGTTTTATCTCACCTTTGGGCAAGAGAATAAATGTGGTATTCAAAACAGTCGCTATTTATAGAGTGCCACAAGTATGCATGCTCCTTACCTGACAAATAACACCTGACAGGATGCTGCCAAAAACACTTGCAATCAAAGTAGAACATGGCATGGCAGTGTGTAAAGAAGGCTGAGGTTAATATCAGCCACAAGGATGTGGACATGTGTTGGTAGAGCCTATGTGCTGTATAAATTTCAATGCTATTTTTCCTATCGGTGTGATACAAGAACAGGACAGCACTGAAGAACTTGTGGGAAATCCTTTTGTGAGATAGAATGGAAAGAGATGTGAAATTCTTGATTCAGGAATGTGGGCAGGATGTGGTGTTGCAATCTTCATGTTTGATTTCCAAGTTATTTTTAATGACCCTCTCATGTTTCATGTTAATGGAGCGTAAGCCTTGGACTCCCACATGGAAACCTTAGGGAGTGCTTAAAAGATACTGAAAATACTACCTAACAAGCAAATGTGGCAGTGTCCTTCTCCCCTCCCTTATCCTCCTTGACCCCTCTTCTGATTTCTACTTAATAAGTGAAAGATAACCAGTTTTATCCCCCGATTGACTTTTTTTCCCAAGAAGTTGGAGGTGTTGGACAGCCGCATTTGAGGTGTTGAGTTTGGCATTGTTCCCAAGATCACAACGCATGGCTTCCGTTAATTGTTCATTTGTGGAATGACTGCTTAACCAGTTGGCTACTGCTTTCAGTGTATGTGGAAAATACCATTCTTAATTAATCAAAGATGCATTTGCAGCCTGTGATGCTCCATTCAATCATTCCAGCAGTTTTTCCCAATTCCCTTTTCCCCTAACTTCCTGAAGAGAGATCAACAGTGCTCTTGTGTGTATAGTCAGCAGTTTGGCCAATCTGATCAGTCACGCCATAATCTCCATCAAAGAAGAGTAAGTGGCAAGTAAACACTGCAGTTTGGCACCCACTGTGGGGTGAAAAGTGGTGTTTAGTTTTGACAGTTTCTCTCTCCAAAGCTTGGCTGCTTAACTCAAACACAGTTTTTTGCCTTTAAGAACAGAAAGGAGCAGTGATGCCGTCCTACCTGGTGTTAGTGAAGATTGTTTGTTTAACACCTGTTACATACTGGTTGGAATATATATTCTAACTTTAGATCTCTACTACTTGTAAAATGTAACGAAGATGTGATAAACTGGGAAAACTTGGAAATTTTTTGTGACTGTGATACTAGGTGCCTGGTGAGTAGCTTTGACATATTACTTGTTGTGGAACTGGATTCATTGTTGAAGAAAATAAATGAGAAAAGTAAAATGATGACCTAGGCAGGACCTATCCCATTAAACACTCAGACACCAGTAGCAAGTTCCCAGTAGGTGGAAGAGACAAGCCCCAGCCGTAATCCTTTTAACAAAGTTGTTTTGACAAGACTGAGAAGAGCTTATTGCCAGCCCGAAGGAAGGAGCAAGGAGAGAAAGAGCTGTCACCAAATGGAAACTGCCCTCATGCTGGTGGAGACACAGGGAGACATCGTTTCTGTGATCAGGAGTGGCTGTGGCTCCTCGACGTTTCCTTAGCAGGGAGCTTACAAAGGTTTAAGTAGAGAGGGCTTTTGGTGCACTGCTCTTCATGCTTTTAGATTTTTTTTAAAGGTCGAATAAGGAGTGTGCTTTCCTTGAATGCAGTGTTTGTGTCAATAAGCGTGCATTGGATGGGATCCACCTTGCTGGTGAGGACATCTGCATCTAGATGCTGAGATACAGGTGCCTATATGTGAATGAAGGGCCTATTCAGCTGCTGAAATAGAAGCTCTCAGTGCCATGGTTGCTTTCTAATCCATATTTCCAGTTCTGATGAATAGTTCACTAATAAGATAATTTTGTGTGAAACCTTGCTTTATTACATCCTCTCTTTAACTCAGTTGCATGTCGCATAACTTGAGGTTTCATCTAAAAAACTCCATCTCTGAACATTGATAAGGCATTTTGTTTTTCAGGGAAGCAGCCTTTTAATTTTTGTAACAAGCTAGTGGCTCTAAATAGATCATTTAAAGAAGATCTGAAAGAGTCAGTAAGTGAAAAGCTTGTTACTGTGCAGGTAGCTGTAGTGAGTACGTCTCAGTTACCGTCTGCCTCATAATTTAACGGTGTTTTTAAAATGTCAACAGTGGAAATATTGGTGTTTGTACCTCGTAGCCCTTCCCCTGATTTGAAGAACTTCATGGTTAAGATGACAAACTGTTGCTAATTCTACTAATATTAAAAAATATATTTTGTATGAGAAGTACTTACATCAGCAATTTTAGTAAAAACAAGCTGTTCTCTGCTGAGTGTTGTCCATAAATACAAGGCTTATTTTTAACTGTGGCACAAAATTCATCTCTTTCTTTCTAACTTTTAAATATATATATATTTTATAATTTCCATTTGGCCCAAAGCCAAACCAGTTGCATTTTCTGTGCATTTTCAACTGTCCATTGGAATAATACCTAAAAATATTTTCATTTTTGTGCTATGGAGAAATGATTCTAGATAAAGAAGAAATATAATAAAATGCAGTAAGAACAGTCAGATGAAAAATCCATCTTTTACTGAGTAGCAGTATATACAGTTTGATTATATTCATTTATATTTTCTCCTATTTGCTCATAATGAGTTTTTACTTTTTATCTTGGTTGGTACCTTCAGGCTACAGGTATCATTCACTTCAGAAGTTATAGTTTTACTTTCAGAAATTATTAATTATGAGCTACTTCATTGCTTGCTCTTCTGGGAACAACTTTTCTGAAGTGAAGTTTGATGAACACCATTGACTGTGGCAATTGCCTTGTTCTTGTTTTTGTTTTTTCATTTTCTTTTGAAATATATTTTTTAAGTGAACTCCAAGCAGATATACAAAAAACACATGCTGGATGCAGAAAATCTGTGTTTAAATATCTGTAATCACCACAGATTGACTTTGACTTGTGTATTTGTGGAGATGGGAATGGCATTTCTTGCTCATTGACTGAACGTTGCTGCTTTCTGGATCTGAGCCTCTTTTTTTTCTTTTTTTTTTTTTTTTTCTCCCCAGTATAGAAAGGAAACATGACGGTGGGCAATTATTGTAGACACTGTATTAAAGAAAGGGTGAAGAAATCTTCTCAGTTACCTCTGAAGTTTTGTTGAGAGTAATTTTCCATGAGAAGAAGTCATGGAGAAATCATGGAAAAAATATTTATTTGCTTTAAGTAACAGTTCAGGGACATATATGCCTAGGAAGTCAAGGAAAGTTCAACATTAATGAAACACAGGTATTGACAGTTACCAAATATGGTGTTTTGTGCTTGGACTGAAAGACTTATTTTTAGTTCTTAATTTGTATTTCTGCTTTTTTTTTTTTCCTCATATTTCTGTTGTGTCAACTGATGGCTCTACCTACCACTTATCAGACCCTGATGTTTGCAGGTGTGTGAAGATGAGGAAGATAAATTAATTTATAATTTATTTCCATTAAAATGAGCTTGTAATCAGATTTACAGATTTGTTGAGGATTTTTGGAATGAATTCTGAATACATACATAATATAGAACATAATATTTTAAATAGAAAAAAAGTATTTTCTGATACTGAAACATTTTTTTCATACAATCTTTCTCCAACTTATTTGTGCATACAATGTAGATAATGCAGGGTTATATTTGCAGGGATTGTGTGAAGGATATAATTATGTGTAAGGAACTGTTAATCTTGGTATGGAGGTATAGATTTTTCTGAAAAACCAGTGCTTCCAATTCATTGTATCACGTTCCTTAACTACAGTACACTTCCTGACAGCCTTGTCAGTCCCTTTGTTCAAATAAATTGTTGACAACATTGTTTTAAAAATAACAGTAAATGAATAAACTTGTAAAATGCTTCACTTCAGGGTCAGCTTAAGCTCTCTCCTTGCACTCAGTCTAATTCCTTCCCACAGGCACTGAATGTCTCACCTTGATTTGGTGGATTCCAAATCTGGGGTTGCTGGTCCTGTTGAGTCCTGTTGAGTGTTAAACAAAATACCAGGATTTTGCAACACTTGAACTGATAATCTTCCCCTTTTGTAGACTGAATGCAGACTAAGCAGCTGGCCATCTAATTGTAATCCTGCAGCATCTATTCCCGTAGCTCACTCGAGGTCCTGTTTTCCTGCTGCCTGGTAACTCCTTCCTTCTGTTCTAGAAACCACCACCAAGTTTATGTAACTCCTTTTGGTATTTCAGCCTGACCTGGCATCCTGCTGTTGCATCAGCAACATTTTAAACTTCCTAGAGCTTCTTCTGTT